TAATGAAGTATTGAAATAAGGCAAAAGTTTATTTTATTACAGTTATTCTCTTTCAGGGTTTTGATTCATGTTATTTATGAAATCTTTTATGTGCATATATTATGACTTTAAAGAAAACATCCATTCCCTTTCAATGCTTCTGCCCCCAACCCCCTTTAAAAGCCAAGTGTTTCATGGAGACAGATGCTAGACTGATCTGGGGTATGGTTCTGGGCAGCCATGTTGAATTTCTTTCTCTCTTTTTTCTTTATTATTGCTTCATATTCAGAGTTCTACCCTAAAATACGTCTCAAGAAACCAGTTGTTCTTTAAGTAGAATATGAAATACATTTTTAGTGGAGATAAAATTAATTTGTCTGTGCCTCAAGCACACCAACTTTATAGGAATCTCATAAATACAGTGACTAGTTTTACTAAATACAGTGATACTTGGTTTTACTTTGAATGTTGGCTCACATGAAAATGTTTAAATAATTGTTTTCTGATTATAACTTGAGTGAAATGAGCAATGCATACTAACTAGAAACTTTGTAAAATATCTAATCACTTAAAGAAGAAAATAAAAATAAGTTCTAGTTCTACCATCTAGGGATAAACATTTTACCTAGATTTAAAGAGACCACGAACTTACCAGTTTAGAATTGCTAAGGAGAAACATAAATGCTATGTTTATTCATGCACATTTAAGATGATTCAAGTGCCCAGTTGAAATGTATCCATATCTTATTTCTACAGCTATTTATTACAAATATGCACCCCCCGAGTCAACTGACAATGTAGTAATGCACCTTGCTCTTGCTAGTGTCATACTGTAAGTATACTGAACTCATCAGTAGAGTGGCCAGGCCACTTGGTACTGTGCTAAATTACACAGAGGTGCTTCACATACTGTCAAAGGAAAGCTAAAGTTTGACAAAACGAAAACACACACACACACAAAACCCCACACAAACTAATGTATTACTCTTTACAAAAGCATTAGATTCAGGACAATCTCTCTCTCTCTCTCTCTCTCTCTCTCTCTCCTCTCTCTAATGATATTAGATTTAAAAACTTACCTCAGAATATTTGCCATAATTTTCTTTGCTGTGAAAATGAGGCATCATTAATTCATCTGTACAGAAGATATTTGATGTTAACAAGCTTGAAGTGGCTAAAGCCAATAAAATGAATCGTTTTGATGAAATAATTTCCATTTTTTCCAAATCCAAAATTGAGTTAAGTTAATGTACACCCCTGTGTCTACAAGAAGGGAAATAGTAGTGTTTTTATACTATTCAAAAACAAAGGAAAGTTTCTTGTAACAGTGAACTCCGTTCCACACATTTTAAATACTAATATTAATTAGAGTGTATAACTAAAAATGCATGTAAGGAATGTGTTTAATTCATTCTGGGAGGACAGCGATGTTTGCAAATTCATTAACTTTGAAAAATAATTTTCCTCATTATGAAAGCTCCCTAATTAGGCGACATCGAGGCACTGGAGTCATTAAGATGCCAAACAAACAGGATGCTCCATTTCTCTGAGCTTAAACAAGAAATACTTTTTTTTTTTTTTGTGCTTGCATCAGTTTTTGAGCAAAGCTAAAAAAAAAGGGGGGGGGATTCATTACATGCTAGTTGTGTTTTAAAAATTCAGACAAAAGAGTTAGGCATAGTATTTTCAAAATGTCAAACAAAATTAAGAATGCATAAACGATTATGCATTGCACAGTACCCCAATAAAATGTCACAAATTAATTTTTTTGTAAAATGCTATTTGGTTATTAATAAGCTCCAAGAGTAAATGTCAGTTGTAATGGGAAGAACGAGAAGAAAAGCAAATATTCGATAGGTATTCTGACAAACTGGTGCCTCTGGAGGACTGGAGGTAGTTCAGCCCCTTTGTTGTTTGCCCTGAGGGTCTTATTTGGCAATTCTGCATAAATCATCAGGATTTTATTTCTATAAAGATGTTGCATCTTACCTCCCTGCTCAGAGTCCTTAACCTAAAAAATCTAGCAGAGTAATTCACACACATGCTCATTTTGCTGCTCCCAGGGCCCACGTTATTTAAGTAATCTCACTTTGCCACAGGCATACTGACATCATGGCATTAAAAGAGAATTTACAGAAATAAATGTGTATTTACTGAAATGCCACAGTGAGTCTCCTTCAGAGCAGCTGAGAATTCTTAAAGACATGCCTTATCACTAGTCTGTCTGCTCCAGAGCAGCAGTTGCTGGGTCCCACAGTCCTTCAACACTCCCAAGAGAACAAGATGTCACGTGGATTTCCAACATCAATTTCCAGAGAGAGGCACTTGGAGGTGAGTTAACCAGAAGTCCTCCAATTGCTCTGTACCCCCTACCCTCTCTCTAACATTTTGTACATAATTTGAGGTGTGGGATGGCATAAATGAAGACTTTTCTCTGTATTGAAGGTCTCTACAATAATCCCAAAAGTTGAAAAGCAACAGTAGGTAAACTCTCCTGTAGCCTTAATACCACACTCCCCCATGACCTCCCTTAAGGCAGTTGACTTCATTGGCTTCATTTGTTTTGGTCTGTTGTAGTCAAGAGTCCCACAGTAGGAGGCAATTAATTCAATTCATAGTCTAGTGTTAATTTTGTAATGCTGTTATTGGATTATTTGGGTTTAATTTCCCTTAGGATTTAATTTACTTCTCTTCCAAATTGTTCTTTTGTAAACTGCTGATGGAACTTCCCTTTTTTGTGGTCAGTAGATCCAAACTTTTGAGAAATGGATGAAGCCAGGGACAAGTTTTGCTGACCAAATTCACACCTTGGAAAAAGTGGAAAGCACCAGCCTGGGTCTCATCCAAACTTGGTTTAAATCTAGGTGTCCTTTTCAAGTAACATGGGGCTTTACACAGGCCACCAGTTTCAGTGCTGCTCTGGGTATTGCCACATGGGTTAGAAGTCATTCCAGTCAACATCAGAGCAGCCTACATGACCAATTGCTGTCCCGTCTCCATCAGGTTAGATTTCCAAGTTTGGAATGCAACTACCATGATATTATTAAAATATAATTGGCTGTTTTCAACCATATTTTCATTTATCTTTGAACATGCTAACAGATATAGAGCAACACTGCAGAACATGCACAGTCTGAGATTACTGTGCTAGCAGCCCTTATTAGCAACTGAGATACACAATAGATCCATGCTCCAAAGCATGCAGTGCAGTTCTGAAAATCCTCCCTGACTCTTACACTCTTTCTGCCCCCTCTTCTGCAATGGTCCCTGAGCCCTGGGTGGGTGGATTTTAACGTAGGAGTCCCACACTCTTTTTTAATATGCAGCTCTCCTATGCTTCCCAATCAATGAATAGTACTGCCTCCATCAGGGTCCAACAAGGAGACAAAAACAGTAATTTGAGCAAGGAATGATTATATAGCACATAATTATAACAGGATTAATTTTAAATTTTATTTATTATAAAGTGAGTACATCTTTAGTTAGGGGATATTTAATGTGATTTCCTTCACTGTCCATCAAGGTCAAAGAAGCTCAAGACAATCCAGACAGTCCTTTCTCAAAGAAACAGAAAACCTAGTGGGAGAACAGGGGATTAATTTTAAAGGGGCAAAGCATGCACTAGGGATGATAGGGAGCATTTAGGGAGACAGCAGACTAGAATTCAGACTATATTGAAAAAGGTGTGGATGGCCAAGAAGTTTGCCTCGTTTCTCCAGGTCAGAACCTGTCCACAGTTACATGAGAGTGACATGGTCTGGGGTGGAGATGAAAAGATGGACAGGAGACTCCTGGGAATTTTCTACTGAAGCTGGGGTTGAACCATCGATTGATGTTCTCTCTTACCAGCTTGCATAGTGTTCTCCAAAGCTACAACAGCTAGCCTTCAGGGGAGGTGGCTTCCAGGTCATTCCAGCTCTGTTGCTCCAAATCCTGTGTCCAAAGTATGTCTTATCTTCAGTGATAGGGTCTTACCCTCAAGTCCTGGGAGGCAATCAAGGACTGTGGCAATAGCCTGTGTAGTTTTGGGAGTCTCTTGGACTACCCTGGCCAACAACTCAAAGGAAGGTTTCTCCTGTCTGGCAGTGTTTCTTGTTATGTAGTCTTCAGCTATACTCACGGACTCACGTAGAGATATTGTACATGTAATTAATTTTTCAGTAGGTTTCTGGACTAATACGATACCTCTGGTTTTTTGTACTAGCTATGCATTATTTCTCTCTCCTTTCTCTCTCCCTGTCTAACCCTCCTCCATGCCCTCCCCTTTTAAAGCATTCCCGTTTTCCCCATTCTTCTAACTTCTAAGTACTTACAATTATCCAGTACATCATTTTCTCTGGCCTAGAATATTTCTTTGTCTCCCCCACCCCCAATTCTTTCTCTGTGGTGCAGTCAGAAATTTTTTTGGGGAAATGCTATACATTTATGATTTCAATAAAAAATAAAAAAAAATTGTGTGTATGTGTGTGGGCATGTGCATGTGGGTGCAGGTGCCTGTGGAGGCCAGAGGCATTAGATCACCCTAGAGTTGGAGTTAGGGACAGTTGTGAGCCACCTTACATGGGTGTCGGGAATTGAATTCAGATCCTCTGCAAGAGCAGTACGTGCTCTTAACCACTGAACCATCACTCCAGCCCAACTTTAATACCTTCCTATGATTTCCCATTTACCTCAGAGTCAGAGAGCCCACTCCTTATGACCTCTGCTCATTTCCCTGCCTTGTAGTATCCCCCTCACATTGCAGAGACTCAGTGAGGGCAGGACCTTAGCTGTATAGTTCATAGTATATTGTCTATTGAAAGAATGGTCAGGAACTTTTATTTCCAAATGAATGAATAAAATTTTCATTAGTATTGGGAATGGGAGTTAAAACTGAAATTATCTATTTCTTCCAACTTTGGCCATTGTCCAGAATTTTCTCTTTACTACGACAGGTCATTAGAGCTCGAGTTTCTGGCTTGTCCTAAAGTTGGAAGGTGTTAACATTCTCATCTTGGGGACTCACCTATAAGACTTTCTCAGACTGAGGCTCATCTCAGGCTGAGACTCATCAGTGAGTTGAATGTGAGGTTGGGTTTATTATGGACTTTTTCTCAGTGCTGGCGATTGAACTCAGGGCCTTTCCTAGGCAGGTGCTCTGCCACTGAGCTATGCTCCCCACATCCATGCCCCCCCACCCCAGTCCTTCAGGACTATACTATTGCACTTGACCATACACCTTGATAAATTCAGTGTGTTCTACTGGATCTTGCCAAGTTGATGGGCATATTTGTATCCAAACAAAATGAAAAGGCCCTGTACATCCCTAAGGAGGGCCTCCTGACAGTGCTGCGGGGTCTTCCCCTGGACAGAGGAAGGTTCTTTGATTGCTTATCTTTATCTAACTACTCTCTAACTTCTAGGAAGGAGTAAACATGGGATACAAATAGTTTCTACTCATGAAGAATGGAAGCCCTGGGTTTAGGACTTCAAAAGGCTCTGCTTTATCTGTGTTTCTAGTAAAATACTTAAAACAAGAGGCTGTTTTTGTGTTATGGGCTGCAGTTTAAAAAAAAAAAAATCCTGTGCTGAAGGAGCAGCTCACTTCATGCATGGATGCATGCTTCTTGAAGCTATGATTGAGGTGCTTAATTTTAACCCAAAGGAACCTGTTTATACAACCCTTCTCAACCTCAACCCAGCCATTTACCTCCAGGCCATTGGCCTTTGCATAATATTTACTACTTCTTTCCATCTTAAGTTTAATAAAATTTGTGGCGTTATACAGAAGAATTTATGGGCATTAGACTCTTATTTTGCATTTCATGTTTCCAAAGTATTTTGTAACCATTTGTTAACTAACTTCTGGCCCTTTTAGAAGGGAGTGGCCATATTGTGGTGCAATTCATTTCACCCTTATGTATGGCAGAGAGAAAGAAATACCTGTCTTTGTTCCAAGTAAAAGCATCATATACAAACTGTACAGAACTATTTTTAAAATGTAATGGTAGGGCCTTTGCTTTGAGATTTATGAGTCTCTTGTTATAATGAGCTTGTCATAGTTTGATGGCAAGATTGTATTTACTTCTCTGCTTTTTACTATGACAGAGGACAATGTCAGAACTGGTGGGGGGGCCCCGATGCAAATGTTAGACCAAGATAATTTCTCCATGTAGTAAAAATCTTGAAAAACAATTCTAGTTGAAATAACCCAAAGAATCAATTTGTACAACGCAAG